TTTTTCTTTCTTTCTTTTTTTTTTTTTTTTTTTAAACATTTTGGGTTTACTAGAGACACTCAGGCTGGTTAAGAATAATTCTTTATGTGATGGGAACAGATGAAAGCAAGCAGTTTACAGGTGTTTCTGTAGCTTAATGGGGTGTCATATGCAGGTCACAGGGGGTTGGAAACCCCAGGTTTTGGTCTTGTCACTGCCATTAACTGTGTGATGTATGGACTCTGTGACCATCTATGGCCAGGATCCTTCAGGTCTAATTTTTTGTTCTGTGGGTTCTCATTGCTGGATCATTTCACCTTGCTCCTTGAAGACATAATATAACAGTCCTCCACTGCACTGAGGCAGATCCATTGTTCCTTAGAAAAAGAGCACATACCACTTGGTTGGCACTAGGGACAATGGTGAAAATAGACGTGACCTCTGAATGTCCTCATGGTACTCACATTCTACTGTAGAACCTCACAGAGTAAAGGCAGATGGACAGGGACAAGATGATGTCTCAATCCATAACTAACTGCAATTGGCATCTATCTCATCCCAGCCCTCATCAACCCCCTACAGCCACTGTCCCACTGTATTCTTGGACCTTTGCCAATGAATTCTTTTGTTAAATTCAAATAAGATCCCAGGTGATTCTGAATATTTACCATACCATTACCATATTTATATATTGTTTCTCTCTGAAGGTTAAACTCAGAGGACGGCTAACAGTATCTTCTCATCAGCAGGATTTCTGAGACTTCTTAATCTATCACACTGTTCATTTGCCCTAGTGGACATTTCCCAGCAACTGTACCGAGGAGGCTGAGACAGCATGAAGATATATTAACCTTTTCTTCTTCATTGTTCCTTCTTGTTCCTTCCCTATCCCTTTAACCTTAACCTGCTTTCCCAGAAGGCCACCCCTCCTTCTAATTTCCATTTGTAAACAGGAAGCACTGTGAGTTTCTCAAAAGAGATGGAGAGAAGAATCTACTTCCAAAATATTTTTTCCTCCGTCACTTCCGAGCTCTTGAAATCTAAATACTATGATTTTTGCAGTCCCCATCCCTGCTGCATTGACTTGTTTTTCATTAGTCCTCCTTTCTTCTAAAAGGTCTTATGGCTTGAAGAATAAAGAATTTTCCCATTAAAGGTGGGACTTCCAGAATACCTGTGTGAGGAGCTCAGTAAATCCTCTCTCATACCAAACAATAAAAGCATACAAAATAATCTAAAATAACCATTTCAGGACTCTGGAAATTACCCAGACATACAGCAAATAAAGAAGTATTTATTTTTTTAAAAAATTAATAAATCTTGGTAAGAACAGTGGGGGTCAATAGTGTTTCAGCCTGAGGATATTTCCATCTCCTCCCCCAGTTCATGGCAAAGGTGGTCTAACAGGGTGCAGTAGGCCATGGCAAGGCCATGCACATGCTCAGGAAGGACTGGAGATGGCCCTAGCCATCTATTGATCTCTGGCTGAATGTGAGGCCCCATGCAAACAGAAAGTAAAAGCCAGGACAGAACTGTAAACTGCTTGAATTTTGAAAATGTTATCCATCTCACACACAGTCCATCAGTAAATGGTTGCAGGTTTGCCTTACAATAAATAGTAAGTCCTTCAGGCTGAAAGAAAATGACACTAAACAGTAAAAAGAATCCACACAAAGAAATAAAAAGCACTGGTAAGTAGGCAAATATAAAAAATTGTGTGTGTGTGTGTGTGTGCACATTGTACACACACATTTCCCTTTTGTTCTTATAATTGATTCAAAAAAATGCATAAAACAATAATTATAACACTGTATTGCTGGGCTTATAATATATGAAATGTAATATACATGATAATATTATCACAGAGGAGGAGGGAGAGAGTAGAACAATACTGGAGCAAAATTGCTTTATTTTATTTGTTAAGTTAATATTAATTTGAAATAGATTATTTCAAGGAAAATATATATTGAGTTCCCTAGAGAAAGCGCTAAGAAAATAACTCAAAAAAGTAGTTAAAAACCTCAACAAATTAATTAAAATGGTACACTAGAAAATATCTATTTAACACAAAAGAAGGCAGTAAAGGAGGAAGAGAGAAACATACAGGACATGAGACATACAAGAAACAAATAACAAAATGGCAGACATAAATCCAACCATCTGAATAACTACATTAAATATAAATGAAATAAACATGCCAATGAAAGAGAGAGATTGTCAGACTAGATTTTTAAAAAGTTCCAGTATATGTTATCTTCAAGAGAAACACTTTAGATTCAAAGACACAAACAGGTTGAAAGTACAGGATTGAAGACAATATACCATGCAACAGTAAATATAATCTATATATAAGATATCTGGAGTGACTCTCCAAAATAGACTTAAGACCAAAAAATGTTCACAGAGGAAAAAAGGAAGGCAGTTTATAGTTATAAAACAGTCAATCTATCAGGAAGATGTACCTATTATAAATATATAAGCACCCAAGAACAGAGACCAAAATATGTAAAGCAAAACCCAACAGAACTGAGGGAGAAGACAGCAATTCAACAATAATGGTCAGAAACATCAATACCCTATTCTTAATCAGTTAATGTAATAAACCATATTAACAAAGGACAAAAACATAAGATCACCTCAATAGACAAAGAAAACGAATTTGAGAGGATCTAACACTCTTTCAAGATAAAAACTCTCAACAAATTAGGAATAGAAGGGAACTTCCTCAGCCTGATAAAGGGCATTTACAAAAACCCTACAGCCAACATGATACTTAACAGTAAAAAACAGAACGTTTTCTACCTAAGATCAGGAACAAGACAAGGATGTCTGTTCACATCACTCTTATTCCACATTACAGCTGATGTTCTAGCAAGTGTAATCATGCAAGAAAAAAAAAAATAAAGGGCATCCATATTGAAAAGTGAAAAATAAAAATCTCTTTATTCATAGACAACATGAATAAAGAGAAAATTACTATCACATACAGAGAAAATTCTAAAGAATATATACACACACACACACATACACACACCCCACCAGAACTAATAAACAATTTCAATTAGGTCACAGGATACAGGATCAATATTTTAAAAACTCAATTTCTATATGACAGTATTTCTACATACCAGCAATAAACCTGAGTGAAATTAAGACAACAATTCCACTTGTAGCAGTGCAAAAAAGAATCAAATACATAGGAATAAATTTCACAAAAGAAGTGCAAGACCTATGCAGTGTAAACTATAATACCTTGCTGAAAAGAATTAAAGAAGAATAAATAAATGGAAAGACATTCCATGTTTGTGGGTTGGAAGACTTAATATTACTAAGATGACAGTCCTCCAAAATTGATCTATAGATTCAATGCAATACCTATAAATATCCCAGCAGACTTTTTTTTCCCCCAGAAATTGACGAATTCATCGTAAAATTTACATGGGAATGCAAAGGACCCAGGAGAGTCAAAATAATTTTGAAAAGAAGTAAAAAATTGGAGGATTCAATCTACATGATTTCAGTACTTACTATGAAGCTACTTTAATCAAGACAGTGTTTTTGTTTTGAATAATGACAGGCATATAGACCAACGAAACAGAATTATGAGTCAGCTAAT